CATATCACAAATAGATACATGTGGAGAAACATGTATAAACAATTCTCAGTACCTCAATACAGCAGGTGAGATTCGGCAGTAACCCCATGACTTTTCAAACTTCTGGGGTTGACACCTTTTGTGTTCTACAGTACAAAACACACATAGTGCACAATGTTTTGTGCAGAATTGCACATGAAATTGCAAGGAACCGACAGTTCTGCCATTGGAGAAGTAGTGTCTGCCATTCGGTGTGTTGTGTATTTTCACTGAATAAATTTATACAAATGCAGTTTTCAGCATCTCTTTTTTGTTAAATTTGTCATTGCTTTTCAACTTATGCTGTCTATTTTTTACATGTCACTGGAGATGTATGCAATATATTGAATCTAAAAACATATTATTAATGTTAAGAATGTAATTACTACTACTCTCGTTTGACTGAAATTCCGAAATGTGAACTGTGTCCTCTTATAAACTGTTATTTTTACTGAAAAATATATTTTTATTCAGTATACTGTTTTATAACGTGTCAGATATGGGACCAAGTTCAAATAATTCCCATTTATTTTTCTGTTCACTTAATATGTGACTTTTATCATGTCTTACGACTATGGTAAGCCTATGTTTCATGTGTTTTTGCACTAAACCAAGTAGGACTCTACCTTATAATATAGTAAGCTTAACATTTGCATGTACTCAAATATTTTAACATATTTTTAACAACCATTAGCAAGTTGATACCTGATAAAACACGCCCAGTAGAATGTCAATCAGTTCTTCGATTGTGTTCAGCAAATGTCTATTACATCAAACTTTTCCCATGATGCAACACACAAGACACAGTGAAAACGTTTCAAAGACATGCGCATTTGTATTCAAGGTCCTGAGAATTGGTATAGTTTGTACAATTGTCAAAATACAAATGGAGACTCTCTACACAACTGACATTCACAGTCTGGTGAATTTCTGGTGTCTGTAGTAAATTGTTATGTTCAAATATTATGTAAACAATGTATTTTACATGTGATGTGTTTATTGCATGGGACTCTCATCAAACACAATGCGAAGAAATGACTGTCACTTTATGACTTTATGTAAAAAACATCAGGTCAATATTAGTTGGCCATTCATGTCATTATGTTAGTGTTAGTTCTACTTGTTTGTTTTCATACACTGTAATTCAGATGATATTTCTACTCACAGGTAAGAGAGGGCAGTATAATAGTAACTTATGATATTTCTACTCACAGGTAAGAGAGGGCAGTATAATAGTAACTTATGATATTTCTACTCACAGGTAAGAGAGGGCAGTATAATAGTAACTTATGATATTTCTACTCACAGGTAAGAGAGGGCAGTATAATAGTAACTTATGATATTTCTACTCACAGGTAAGAGAGGGCAGTATAATAGTAACTTATGATATTTCTACTCACAGGTAAGAGAGGGCAGTATAATAGTAACTTATGAATTGGTGATGATAGATGGTGCTGATGTTTCTCTTGTTGACATGGCCCAGTTAATGGAAAGTGAGGTAAGATGCAAATTGGTCATCAGTTAATTAGCTCCGCTGTTGACTTTGTCGAGCGAAGCTTATCATATGAGTGATTGTCCGTCGGCGTCGTCCGTGTCAATGTTTTACTTTTTCGACTTCTTCTTGAAAACTACAAGCCTGGATGCTTTGATACTTGGTGTATATGTACCTTCGGTAGACTACTCTTAGGTTTGTTCATTTCATGATGATGTCTTCAATTCTCAATATTTTTTGTTATTTTTTGTCATTTTTGGTAAAAACTGATGTTTTTGACTTTTTGATAAAAATCGCAAGTCGAATTGATTCGATATTATACATGCAGGTACAGGTAAAACTCACACAGATTAATTCATTTTATGATGATTACTTCATTTCTTTAATTGAAAGTCCAATTACTTTGATAATATATATATAGGTGTTACATGTGGTCCTCTCTCAGATTTGTTCACTTCATGATGATATCTTCAATTCACTAATTTTGATGAATGTCTTTGTCATTTTTGGTAAAAAGTGATATTTTCGACTTCTTGTAGAAAACCACAAGTCCAATTGCTTTGATATTACATATATAGGTACTACTTGTGGACCTCTCTCAGATTTGTTCATTTTGTAATGATATCTTCAATTATCTAATTTTGATGAATATTTTTGTCTTTTTTTGGTGAAAATTGATATTTTTGAATTATTCGAATTCTTGTTAAAAACAGCATGTCCAATTGCATTGATACTATACATATTGTTCATTTTCTAATGATATCTTCAGTTCTTTAATTGCTAATGTGCATTGCTAACAGCGGAGCTATCTCAGTCGACTGGCTACTTGTTATCTTGCCCATTGAAGTTAAAAAGAAAAAGGTATATTAGGATAAAATGTCATTTTCATAGTTAATGTGTACATGAAAACTTGAGTAATTCTCAAACTTTGTCGCTTTATTCATTAGTATAAAATCTTCCCAGAGTTAGAACAAGAGATGTCCTTGTGAGAAAATTGTGAAAGTAGTAGTCGAAATTGGATTTGTTTCTACTTGACTGACAACATATATAATCACGACGATTATGACTGTACATGGTTAAGTGAGCACTCCAAAAAACAACATGATAATACAGTGTTTGTAGGCTTATCATCTATATTCAACAACATAGATTCATCAGTAAATGTACTGTGAACACAATGACAAGAGCGAAAAGGTGATGGATGGAAGTCAGAAGGAATGAAAGCTTTGCTTATAATAAGGAGCTAGATCAATTTTGTGCAGACATAGAAATAGAGAAAACAATCAAACAACACAAAAATCCAAACCATATGAAAAAGTGTCAATCGACAAATGTTTTCCCAGGAAATTGTTTTAAAGGATTCAACGCAAAGAAAGAGGCTGAACATTACATGCAAATGTACGGTAGTCAAGTTAGTGTTAATAACAACAACACGGTTGGGGAACCATAGAGATTTAGGAAGGTTGAAACAAAACTAAAGAGGGTGTTTGTGAAAATAGAGATTTAGAAAGGTTGAAACAAAACTAAAGAAGGTGTTTGTGAAAATAGAGATTTAGGAAAGTTGAAAGAAAACTAAAGAGGGTGTTATTAAAAATAGAGATTTGGAAAGGTTGAAACAAAACTAAAGAAGGTGTTTGTGAAAATAGAGATTTAGGAAGGTTGAAACAAAACTGAAGAGGGTGTTAGAGAAATTAGAGATTTAGGAAGGTTGAAACAACACTAAAGAGTGTGTTAGTGAAAATAGAGATTTAGGAAGGTTGAAACAAAACTTAAGAGGGTATTAGTGAAAATAGAGATTTAGGAAGGTTGAAACAAAACTTAAGAGGGTATTAGTGAAAATAGAGATTTAGGAAGGTTGAAACAACACTAAAGAGTGTGTTAGTGAAAATAGAGATTTAGAAAGGTTGAAAGAAAACTAAAGAGGGTGTTATTAAAAATAGAGATTTAGGAAGGTTGAAACAAAACTAAAGAGGGTGTTAGTGAAAATAGAGATTTAGAAAGGTTGAAAGAAAACTAAAGAGGGTGTTATTAAAAATAGAGATTTGGAAAGGTTGAAACAAAACTAAAGAAGGTGTTTGTGAAAATAGAGATTTGGAAAGGTTGAAACAAAACTAAAGAAGGTGTTTGTGAAAATAGAGATTTAGAAAGGTTGAAACAAAACTAAAGAAGGTGTTTGTGAAAATAGAGATTTAGGAAGGTTGAAACAAAACTGAAGAGGGTGTTAGTGAAAATAGAGATTTAGAAAGGTTGAAACAAAACTAAAGAAGGTGTTTGTGAAAATAGAGATTTAGGAAGGTTGAAAGAAAACTAAAGAGGGTGTTATTAAAAATAGAGATTTAGGAAGGTTGAAACAACACTAAAGAGGGTGTTTGTGAAAATAGAGATTTAGGAAGGTTGAAACAAAACTGAAGAGGGTGTTAGTGAAATTAGAGATTTAGGAAGGTTGAAACAAAACTGAAGAGGGTGTTAGTGAAAATAGAGATTTAGGAAGGTTGAAACAACACTAAAGAGGGTGTTTGTGAAATTAGAGATTTAGGAAGGTTGAAACAACACTAAAGAGGGTGTTCGCGAAAATAGAGATTTAGAAAGGTTGAAACAAAACTAAAGAGGGTGTTAGTGAAATTAGAGATTTAGGAAGGTTGAAACAACACTAAAGAGGGTGTTCGTGAAAATAGAGATTTAGAAAGGTTGAAACAAAACTAAAGAGGGTGTTTGTGAAAATAGAGATTTAGAAAGGTTGAAAGAAAACTAAAGAGGGTGTTATTAAAAATAGAGATTTGGAAAGGTTGAAACAAAACTAAAGAAGGTGTTTGTGAAAATAGAGATTTGGAAAGGTTGAAACAAAACTAAAGAGGGTGTTTGTGAAAATAGAGATTTAGAAAGGTTGAAAGAAAACTAAAGAGGGTGTTTGTGAAAATAGAGATTTAGGAAGGTTGAAACAAAACTGAAGAGGGTGTTAGTGAAATTAGAGATTTAGGAAGGTTGAAACAACACTAAAGAGGGTGTTCGTGAAAATAGAGATTTAGAAAGGTTGAAACAAAACTAAAGAGGGTGTTTGTGAAAATAGAGATTTAGGAAGGTTGAAACAAAACTAAAGAGGGTGTTTGTGAAAATAGAGATTTAGAAAGGTTGAAACAAAACTTAAGAGGGTATTAGTGAAAATAGAGATTTAGAAAGGTTGAAACAAAACTTAAGAGGGTATTAGTGAAAATAGAGATTTAGGAAGGTTGAAACAACACTAAAGAGGGTGTTAGTGAAAATAGAGATTTGGAAAGGTTGAAACAAAACTAAAGAAGGTGTTTGTGAAAATAGAGATTTAGGAAAGGTTGAAACAAAACTAAAGAGGATGTTTGTGAAAATAGAGATTTAGAAAGGTTGAAACAAAACTAAAGAGGGTGTTTGTGAAAATAGAGATTTAGGAAGGTTGAAACAAAACTAAAGAGGGTGTTTGTGAAAATAGAGATTTAGAAAGGTTGAAACAAAACTTAAGAGGGTATTAGTGAAAATAGAGATTTAGAAAGGTTGAAACAAAACTTAAGAGGGTATTAGTGAAAATAGAGATTTAGGAAGGTTGAAACAACGCTAAAGAGGGTGTTTGTGAAAATAGAGATTTAGGAAGGTTGAAACAACACTAAAGAGGGTGTTAGTGAAAATAGAGATTTAGGAAGGTTGAAACAAAACTAAAGAGGGTGTTAGTGAAAATATTGATTTAGGAAGGAACCAGAGAATTCATGGCATCTTCCTGGTTTACTAATGAATTGGGATACTAAAAAAAAAATGCATATTATGTATAGTATGCTCAGTAATAGAAACATTAAATCAGGCCCAAACAGAACATGAAAAATCAACACATTTTCTTAACAAAATAACTTCACCTGCATAACTGAGCAAATTTTATTTTTTTACAGATTAAATCAGGTAACTTGAAGTTGTCTTACAAAAATCATGATTTGCCACTTGACCTTGAGTCAGTAGAGTTTGATATGCAGCGTGCAGATTCAACTAAGGGTGGTAAATCAAATAATACTACTGTCATCGCATGTGTCGCTGTGTTATTGGTTCTATGTGCAGTGGCAGCTGTGGTTGGAGTTTTGGTATGTTGAATCTATGTTCTACCTCAAAAACATTTTTTTACTAATGCCAGATGTATTTACATCCATAGATTATGTATGTAAACCACAAATTTGTTCTTTGTTCTAATCATTTTTTTTTTATTAAAGGCAAGGCTGCAGTAGGTGTGCTATGTTTTTAAGTGTGTAGTTACCCATTATGGTTAATCTGATAACTAACCATGATTTGTGTTACAATGTTGCCAATTCAAAAATTCTTTTTTCAAAACCACAAAGTTCCACTCAAGAAAAAGAGTCTGAAAATAATGACATTATTCATTCATGATACAGTTTTAGTAGCAATAAATTCAGTTTACACTTTTGCAATGTCGGGAGCCATATTTTTGCATTATTTGTCTCCATCTCTATGTCCAAAGTTACATATTTCAAAGCCAACTTGGTTGACCTTCTAGGTCTATCTTTTTAAAGCCAGCTTGGTTGACCCCCTAGGTCTGTATTTTCAAAGCCAACTTGGTTGACCCCCTAGGTCTATCTTTTTAAAGCCAGTTTGGTTGACCCCCTAGGTCCATCTTTTCAAAGCCAACTTGGTTGACTCCCTAGGTCTATCTTTTCAAAGCCAACTTGGTTGACTCCCTAGGTCTATTTTTTCAAAGCCAACTTAGTTGACCCCCTAGGTCTATCTTTTTAAAGCCAACTTGCAATCTGTTTCACTTTTCATTTTGACTTCTTCTCAAAAACGGCTGCATCATTTGAAAATTGAAATATTCATTCTACGTGTCCCGCTCCACAGAGTGAGAGTTTAGGATTTTTGATTAGTCCTGTGATTCGGCCGCTATCTTGCATTTGGTAAAACCCACAAGTAGTTGGTTACACCACTTTCTGGGGGTCTAGGATTCCCATTGCCATAATAGTGAGGACAAGTATACACTTTGTACTGAATGGGCCATATATAATACATTATAAAAAAGGGTTTTGCAAATGATAATGTGTTTTTAATAGAGCAAAATAGTAGCATCGTATAAAAGATGTGACAAACATAACAGATGTCCATATAAGGTCATGTGACCTCAGTATGCATATCTGCAATATCTCAATCAGTTGGCAGATAAAAACATGAAACCAGAGACAATATGGTAGCACTGGTCAAGAGATATGGATAAAATATAAGATGGCCATATATGGTCATGTAACCTTATTATTATGCATAACTGCAATAGCTCAAGCACTTTTGTAAACATGCAACCAGTACCATAGTGATGATATTAGACAAGAGAGATGACTAACATAAAGTATGACCATATAAAGTCATGTAACCTTATTAATATGCATAACAGCCATGGCTCAAGCACTGTTGCAGTAAGAACATACAAGTAGTGCTATAATGATCAAATGATGTATAACCATCTTGTACCTACATGTATATAGATTGCACAAATTGAATGGTATTATGTTCATTCACTTAAAATAGCTGCTATGAAGCTATATTTATTCTTTTGTATATATTATTTTGTTTTTTTTTATTTCATAGGTTTACAGACGGCAATGTAGACCTGGTGGTTCATCTGGTGCAAAATATGTTCGAAGCTTAAATGGACCTGAGGTGAGTGGTTTTATAACTATGATAGCTCTATGTTTAAAGTGGTCATCTAACTCAAACAAATAAAAAGAAAACACACCATTGGTTGCAGTCCGAAAACGGGTGCGTGTGTGCGTTCGTGTGTTCCGGACCTGTATCTTAGGAATGCCTGGACTAATCACAATCAAACTTCACACATACATCATACATGACATTATACATATGCACATCAATTTGTTTCACAATCTGATTCAAGATGGCCGAATGGCGACCATTTATGTACTGAAAAATCATCAAATTAACCATTTATCGGCTGTTTACAGATAGATTTTGTTCAAACTTCGTATATACACTGGACATTATAGGACCTAGATGCACATCATTTTTGTTTTTCAGATAAGATTCAAAATGGCTGTCTGGCAGTCATTTTGTTTTAATGAATGGACTTCTAGATCCATATCTCTGACATGCTTTACTGATTATGTTCAAATTTTATATACTCATTATACATCATGTTATAGATATATACATGTATTCAAAATGGCTGATTTCAGTTTGTTTTAATCAAGGCTGTTCCAGTGCAAAATCTCTCAATGTGGACAAGGACTAGTTTGACGATCAGATACAAATGTCAATCATTTTAATGTTAAACAATCATTATAATCATATTCCTGACATGGTTATATTTTAGCTATATTACTATAAACAAAATATATCTTAAATTTGATAACTAACGGGGACTGTGCCATGCATGGCTTGTTTTTTCATAACTTCATACATACTTCAGTAAAACAGGCTTTAAACACAATATGTTTTTTCAATGACAACCAGTGGTTTAGAATTATTTTATTTCTTTTCTTTTTAACAGGTGTCTTTCTCAAATGATTCCTACGATGTCCCAGGTGGTGCATCCCAAATATAAATCAGGATATTCCCATGAAGCATCCATATGATTCACTATTCCGTCTTATTATGTTTCCTATGAAAGTTGATACTCGTCCTTTGTGGCTGAAAGTAAGATGTGTGATGATGTGTTTCAGTTAAATTTTGACAAAAAGTACTTGGTTGTCAAATTAATGTTTAATATGTTCAATCTACTCCAGGAGATGAACACCAAGGTTGGTGTTTTGAGTTGTTTTACACTGGCAGTGGACACCTATTGAAAACAAAGTTCGTCAAAGCATTGTTACAAGTCATCAGCACTTAATATCCACTTTATGTCCATTAATGTAGATTAATGAACTTTCATTATTATCATTTTACAATGTCTTCAACATTCAAGACTTACATTGAAACCAATACAAGTGCCTTTATTTACATGTAAAAGAATATAGTTTTTTTTCCCTTTGGTGTTTTTAGACTTGTACATGTTGTATAATAGTATAGGACAATTGTATATGACAAGACGTACATTTAATAACAGGTAATTATTATGTTCCAAATAAATGTTATGCCATTCAGCTAATTGATATTCATGGGTACAGTTACCCCTGGTATATCTGATTTACCATGGCGACATTTGTAGTCATTTGAACAATTGATTACAAAAACAATGTTACATAGGGATCTATAACATGTATGTACTCGGTAATTGTATTCATCCACCTGACACACCAAGCACTAGCACAATCTATATCCAATATATAAACCTTTCCATGTCTTGTCTTTTTATATTAATAGAATTTTTTGCAATTTGTCAAAACATTTACATTGTGGGTACGCAACCATTTTGTCTTTTTTGATAGATTTGTATGTAATTAAATTGATTTGAATCATGTCTATTATGTATGACTATTTTGGTCTAAAATTAACAAATACATTTTTGTGAAATTCATAAAATGCATATATATATCACCAAAAGTTGGTGGAAAAACTAATGATATTCAAAGTTTAAAACAGAAATGTGATGGATTATTGAGGTAAGGTTGGAAGATCTGTTCGAGAGCACACTACAGATGTACACACAATTTGATATCTTGTTTTTTTGTTTTGTTTCTCCAAATAGATTTACATGTTTATACATATTTATCTTTACCAGTTATCTTTAGTTATGCATTTTGATATTCTTATTTTTGTATTCATGGCAAATTTCTGTGAATTTATGCTAATTTTATATAGAGAATTTCAGTTTTACTTTCTGTCTGTGATCTTTTAACATATTTAGCCAATAAATATAATCAGACTATGGCCTGAATCATGCAGCATAATGTTGGGAAAGGAACTGAATTAACCCAAACCCATAAACAGAGTGTAACATTTGCAATGGCCAGTACTTTTGTAAGCAAGTGAAACTGAATTTTTATTCCCCTTCTGAACAAAGTTCAGGAACTTATATATAATTCAGTCTTCATCCATCGATCCAAAGTCGTATTTCATAACCAAAAAAACGGAATCCGTTCATTCTTTGCATGTGCCTAGTACTTTGTGTGAGACATATGCACATACATTGGTTTAGTGGTTTGATCCAAAATAACCAACTGGCAGCCTATTTTGTTTTTTGAAAATGTCTTGGACATGTTTCTTTAGTTTTTGTTCAAATTTGGTACATACATGTACATTATACATGTTGAGATGATGTCTGTGATGATTCATGTCATGGTTAGATTAAAATAACAAAATTGCAGCCATTTTGTTTTTGAAAATGTATTATTCATCATATTTTGTCACATACAGAAAATTACATGCATAAGTGCCTTAATTTCTATTTTGCCACAATATTGTTAGAAATAGTGTCATTAGGTAACACCATATTTATAAATAATTAAGCTGACACATACTTACGATACTGGAGACATGAACTTTACTAGAGTTTGAATACAAACATTGCATGAATATGAGAAATAGCAAATAGTTGTGACCATATATTAGATTGCAAATTTAAAATGCATTTAATAAATCTGATTTTTACCTTGCCCATATCATCAAAGATTTTTGTGTCCGCCGTCGTCATCGTTAATAATTGTTATTGTGTGCACAATAACTTTACTAATTCTATTCCAAACTTTATCAAACTTGGTCACCTTATTCATCAGTATAAAGTCTTCCCTGAGTTTGAACAACAGATGTCCTGTATGAAAATATCATGCAAAAATTGAGAAAATCTGATAAAATATTTTGACTGTTTCTACTTGACTGATCACATTCAAAGGTCATTGATCTCAGTGGAAATATGCATTGTTGTCTGTGTTCAATGAAGCAAATCATTTATCTTGTAATAATATTCTTGGTAATGTATCTCCCAAATCCCATGGGAATACTAGACTGGGTTTCAAAACCAACTCATGGAGAGAGTTTTTGCACAGTCTGATACACATTTGCAAACCTAAAATCTTTACAGAAAACAAGATAAGCACTCCTATGAATTGGGCGCAAAACTTTGATCAAGATCTGAAGCTAATAGAAAATCTGTTTAGTCCAAAGTTATCAAATAAAAACAATACATAAAAAATACATAAAAAGCAAAACGTTGCATCCACATTTTGAAAAGAAAATTTTACTCAAAAATAGGTATTCTGTATTTTACAAACAGTTCAATTGACAAATGAAAATTCACAGGAATTTGTTTCAGCTATTAGAACAGAATAATAGAGATTTTATAATACTACCAGTAATTTAAAAACGCACTTCAAAAACAAAGATTGCAGTGTTTGAAGATGTAGATTCTCAGGAGGCAAATATACTGTTGACTTCTCTCTCACTGGACACCAACTAACTATTTAAGTTGATTTGCATTACAAAGCAGAGCTTGCAACATGATAGAGGGCGTTTTTTTTTACTTTTCAAATAATACAGTAGTCACAAAATGAATATAATAAGGTAGATCATATTTGGCTCATTGAATCGCCTGTACAAAATACTTGGGTAAAAGCCAGCTAAAATTTTCTGGTATCTTGCATGATTTATGAATCTATTCATGTCTAAATGTAGCACTTTTTTCTGAGATGCAGCAATTGTTTTTATAATAAAAAATCTGAATTAATGAATAAAGCTGGAAATTATGTCCCTTAAAATAATTAAACAAATTAGGCACCAATGTTTTTGTAAGATATTTACATCAAGGACATTCGGTAAACTGCTTTCCCACTGTTTCAACCCCAAAACTTGTTTGTATTAAAAATTAATTATGACATTGCATATTCATATTGAAACAAACTACGATAAAGGAAATAATATTATATAACAAAAAGAAAGGTCACCAGAGTTCAAATATGTTTGATATTAGAATACTGTAGTTGATTGTACACTCTAAATTACTGATCATACACTTCAAATTTATTCATAAACGATTTACATGGTCAAATGACCAGTGATTTGCATATCCAATTTAATTGCATATATTATGCATGTAGCAATACCACAGTTCAATTTGTAATCATATAAAATGACATTCCCATAATTGCAAAAGGGACTGTCACACTAACAATGACTTGCTGGTTAATAACATTTTCCAGGTGTCAAGGTATGTTTAATGTGCATAGCATCTGTCTAGGTGTTGTTTACATGTGCATTGCCTGCTGTCTAGGTGCTGTGTGCATGTTCAACCAGTTGTCTAGGTGATGTCTACACGCACAATCACTTGTCCAGGTGATGTCTACATGTACAACCAGTTGTCTAGGTGATGTCTACACGCACAACCACTTGTCCAGGTGATGTCTACATGTACAACCAGTTGTCTAGGTGATGTCTACATGTACAACCAGTTGTCTCGGTGATGTCTACATGTACAACCAGTTGTCTAGGTGATGTCTACATGTACAACCAGCTGTCTAGGTGATGTCTACATGTACAACCAGCTGTCTAGGTGATGTCTACATGTACAACCAGTTGTCTAGGTGATGTCTACATGTACAACTAGCTGTCTAGGTGTTGTTTACATGTACAACCAGTTGTCTAGGTGATGTCTACATGTACAACCAGTTGTCTAGGTGATGTCTACACGCACAACCACTTGTCCAGGTGATGTCTACATGTACAACCAGTTGTCTAGGTGATGTCTACATGTACAACCAGCTGTCTAGGTGTTGTCTACATGTACAACCAGTTGTCTAGGTGATGTCTACATGTACAACCAGTTGTCTAGGTGATGTCTACATGTACAACCAGTTGTCTAGGTGATGTCTACACGCACAACCACTTGTCCAGGTGATGTCTACATGTACAACCAGTTGTCTAGGTGATGTCTACATGTACAACCAGCTGTCTAGGTGTTGTCTACATGTACAACCAGTTGTCTAGGTGATGTTTACATAAACAACCAGCTGTCTAGGTGATGTTTACATGCACAACCAGTTGCCTAGGTCATGTTTACATGTGTGCAGCCAGTTTTCAAGGCACTGTAAGTGTATCATCTGTATACTGTATGAGAATTGTGTTGCTGCAGAGACTAGGGCATAAAGTTATGGTTAAAACCGGTAAATGTTTTATAAGTATACATGTTTAGCTCTGCTGTCGACTTTGTCGAGTGGAGCTTATCATATGTGTGATGGCAGCATGTGCATCAATGTTTTACTTTTTCGACTTCTTGTAATTACTTGCTTTGATACTTGGTGTATAAGTACCTCGCACAGACCTTCCTCAGATTTGTTTATTTCGTGATGATATATTCAATTCTCTAATTTTGATGAATATTTTTGTCATTTTTTATAACAAGTAAAATTTTTTACTTCTTGTTGAAAACTACAATTTTGATGGCGCTGATATTATACATACGTATCTTGTGTCTGCTGATCTCAGATTTGTTCATTTTGTGATGATATCTTCAATTCTCTAATTGAAATGTGCATTTCTAACAGCAGAGCTATTTCAGCCGAAAGGTTGCTTATTATAAATTAAAATGGATGTTTGAATTCAAATTGACCAATACCATTGTTTGTGTCATTATTCTTAGTTCTTATTCAACATTATCCAATCAGCAAGCACCTCATTTTGTTAGGTCATGTGAAGGAAAGCAAGTACACACATTTTGGCTATAAGACTAGCTTGAGCTCTTCAGCAATTGACTATTAAATATCTGAATTCTCACTGGTGATATGCATTTACAATTTTTATAAATGTTTTCATAAGCTAAGGCCTGTCTAATGTCTTTCACTGTAGTGAAGGGTAAACATAACTAGTTTACAATGATAGATGGACTGTTGTGTCTAGCTTAGCAGGGTACAT